GTAAAAGCACCACTTCACCACTTCATTTCACTTCACTTCACTTCACTGCTGAAACGGCGCCCCTGATGGGGGAGGGAAGCAAGGGAGGGAAAGTACCATTTCACCACTTCCGCTTAACTTGAAGTGATTATTTATTGTTTCGACCGTTTCAGCAGCGTTTTATAGATGAAGTGAAGTGAAATGAAGTGGTGAAGTGGTGCTTTTACCCCCTTGGTTTAGCCGTATGTACTATCCTTACAGATAAAATATGCAAACAATACAAAATTATTGTTGATATTAATCATAGAACAGAAGACAAAAATTGTTTTCGTTTACCATACTAGACAAAGAGAAAGTTTACTACTATAATATAGATGATGTGTGAGGAAAATCCCGGATGCTCTCGGGAAAATTACTTGATCAGTCATACGAAGCAATCTTATCGCGAGACAAAAGGTTCTATTCTGTAAAGGCGGCTTACGAAAGACCTATCAGGCGGAAGAACATCAAATTCATGATACGCAGCCAAAAGCACCTGCAGTCCCGTACTTTCAGCCAGAACAACGCTTTATTTTTCTTGAAAGTTCTCTGGTTAGTTTATTCTATAACCTTAAACTAAAAGACTTTACACTCATAAGTGCATTTGATACATTTTGTTTTATATCGTTTTCTTGTTTCGCTAGCTCTATATTTTACATCCTTTGTCTTTTCTGTCATTTATTGCTTCTATCAAATAGACTTTGAATACCACCAATCAGTCAGTTAGCATATGTTGCTTTACCTACATCATCTATCGAAACATCAGAGAGTTTGTGATGCTTAGACAGGTAGCTAGTCTTGCATGCAGTATCCTTAAGCATTTTTTTTCTCGTTCGACTACGCATATTGGCCATTATGAGTAGTTGTTACACGTTCTTAAATATAAAATGTGATATCATCGTTATTACACGTATGACAAAGAGCCATGAATAAATCAATGAACTGTGACTTCTATAATAATATTTTTATTTTGCATACCCATCGTCATATTACTACATTAGAAAGAAGAAAAGAAGGTGAATAGCGAAATGTGGATTTTGTTCATCACACGTATTTGATCGAAAGGTTGAGAATTCAGAAGCAAAAGTAAATGCGTATGGGTGGAATTTATTTTCACATTAAAAACAAAATCGCACAACAACAAGGACAGATCATAATGCGAATCATCTTCTATTAGTGGAACAACGAATGAATTCTGATGCATACGATACCGACGGCGGCACTGACGATCGTCATCACTTAACATCCCGTTATGGTTCTCTAATATCACCCCAAATTCTACGACGCCATGATGTCATTCAAATGTCTTCTCCTCAAATACCCCCTCGTCATCCGCTGCGAAAAGCAGTGCCGTCACCGACCATATTAACACCACAAATTCGCCTTCACCATGGAGAACACGAAATACATTCTGATCTACTTCCACAACATGATGTTCGCAAACACATTCGAAACGGTCGAAAACTACTGCCAATCACCGCTGCAACGCCTGTTGCGCACACATCATCGCCAGCACAAAATAGCCCGTCACCAACTGATCGTCATCATATGGCAGATCACCGATTACCGTTGGTTGTACAGGATATGCACGAACAAAAACGTCAAGTAAAAGAACGTATCCAGAATCATCCAGTTAGTAAAACACCACCACTAAGATTTATATTTATTCGTCATAGTGAACGAGTAGACCAGACCGTTGGATCTGATTGGTTTTCACGTGCATTCGATCTGCGAACAGGCGCTTATCACCGATATAATATTAATCTACCGAAAAGCTTACCAAACCGATCGCACTTTCAAGCATATGAATTCGATCCGCCATTGACAGGTAAGAGATTCGTCATACTATTGCTTCAAAGGACTTATCATTGTTTTGTTGTTTCTAGTGGAAGGATGGAAGAATGCTCGAATAGTAGGCAGGGGACTGTTAGATAAAAATTTGACATCGAATATTTGTCTAACATCGTCCGCTCTCCGTTGTGTTCAAACATGTGAACTTTTAATAGCTGGTATGAGACGACGAGAACGTCTTCAAATGCGTGTTGAACCCGGTCTTTTCGAATGTCCACATTCTAACACTAAACTAGTTGACAGTTTTATGACTAAAGGCGAATTGTTAACAAATGATTATAATATAAAAGCCGACTATAAACCTGTCATACCAAAAATAACAGTCCCTGAAACATTGGAAGAATATTTTCAGCGTAGTCAATGGGTTATGCAACGTATCATTGATCGTTATAAATTTCGTGGTGGAAATGTTCTTATTGTAACACATGCACCTGGACTCATTGCACTAACTGATGCTCTGCAAGGAATTAAATCAAATCCGGATACACTCTATAGAGTAGTTAGTCGATTTCAATATCTTGCCACTAGAGTCGCTGAATTTGAAAACGGGCGATGGAATGTTCATGATCAACCATTTGATCACAGAAGAGCAGGAGGAGAATAAGAACGAATCAGATTTCATCTTGGCGTTCATCTGAAGCATTGATATCATTATCTGCCCATGTATATTGCCCATTTTTCCATCATATGGTCGTTGAAAGCCACCACTACGAACTATTTTGGGCATTGATTTGAACAATCGTACCATATGTCATCTCGTTTTTCCAAACTACTTGACTAAAACTGATGGTCAGTAGAATACATGGGAAGAAATATTAGATCTTTCGAGAAAAACGCGATTGGCAAGTAAGACTCCTTTGATCAATCAGATAGTACTTTGCATTGAAAACTTAATTTTCTTTAAACGACTATTTGTGGTTCTTTTCGCAAAAATTAAGAATTTTCAATCCATGTCTGTTGGTACACCGAATGATGACGCTTATGTATGACTGTTATCCGTTATAATGTACTATTTGTGTTACTAATTTCTTATTGTTTCATTAAAAGCTTTCTGAACTATATTATAAACTTAGACGAATCTACAGCTAGTAATAAAGAAAAGAAAGAATCAACAAAGAAAAGTAAAAAAATGAGAGTCTTCGTTATAACTATCCAAGAACGATAATCAACGCGTCGGTAATGAGAACAGCAACAGCAGTATTTAATTCACTTCTGAGTTTTCTGTATTTTTGTGAAGTAAAAGCTGATGGATCATCGACAATACTAGCACAGTTATCACAAAAAACTTTAGAGCTGCTTTTAGAACAAGTTTCACATGTTCAGGAGCCGGAATGTTCGGTTCTCGGTTCTCGTTAAGAACCGGAACCGCGGTTCTGTAGACGGTTCCTTTTTTTTGGAACCGAGACTTCATTTATAATGTGGAAAAAAGAAATTTTGAAGTTTTGTTTGAAACGTGTTTAATTTTGGTATGTTATGTAGTTTGATTGACGTTGAATTCCATTGTCGCACAGCCCGTGGG